CCCGCGGTCTCTGTGCCGCAGGACCCCGCGCTGCAGACGGGAGGATGGGCCCGGGGCGGCGGTGGGAGCGGCCGAGCGGCCGCGGATGCGCCCCGAAGGCGGGAACCCGACGAGCCAGCACCCCGCGAAGTGCTGCTGCAGCCCGGGCGTCTGGAGCTGGGCGACGTGGAGGAGGACCAGGTGGTGGCTGTGTTCGTAGTCACCTTCGATCCCCGCTCGGGTGAGAGACGCTTAGGGATGGAGAGATGGTTGGGGGCGGGCACATCGCCCGCTAGGTTTCGGAGGGCGCGGGGGAGGGACCCGTTGCGTGCGCACTCGCACCCACACACCTGCATCCCTCCCCGCTCGGGGGTCCCGGGGCAACGGGGGCACTGTGTCCCCAGACGAGAACCGAGGGATCCCCGGGGCTTTGTTCCGCCCCCCTCTCCGTCCCGCCGCGGCTCTCAGCTCCGCTCCGGTGCCTCTTCGCCGCTCTCTCGCTTGCTCCGCTTCAGTGCGGGAGGATTGGTGTGTGGCCGCGGGCACGTTGGCTTTTGTTTTCTCTGTTTTCCTGCTCGGCTGGAAGGTTCTTTTAGATGCCGAAAGGAGGGAACCCACCCCCACTCCCCACCCCGCGCGTACGTCGCCTCCCACGCGGGTCCAAAAAGAACCTATGCTCTATGCCCGCCCTTGCTTGTGGTTGCTCCCAGCGAGGTAACTTTCCCAGCCGCCAAGTTCACTTTCTCCGAAGGCTTAATTTTGAGGAATTAACGTGGGAGCATTCGGGGATGGGGTTGGAGAAGCCTTCTCTGGCAAGCTGTCTTTCTAGGAGGACTAACTGGTTATGTCACCCCGTCTTTACCCTAACCACCCACTGCGGGGGTGTGTGCGTTGCAACAGTGGGCGGTTCCGGGGGGTGGGTGGAGGGTGCAAGTGAACCACACGTCTGTGGGCTCTGCCAGGGGCATCGACATCCCGGAGCTGCTGCTCTGCTTCGTCTTTGAAGAAGAGGAACGCCCAGATGCGTCCTCCTAGCTTTCTCCTTGGAGTTGTTGCTAGAGTGAGGAGTTCGTGTTTGTGAGGGAAAGAAGGGTTTTCTTTCTGGAAGTTCCTACTTCCAGAAACTAGTCTTCCTACCCTGAAGGTATGGATGGGAGGAAGATTAGGATTATGTGAAAGGGATCCAGATGTGATGGAAGCTGGTGGCTTCTGGGCAGAATGGCTTAACTGTGGTCAAGGATTCTGAGCCCCAAACAGGCGTATGGTCCCTTAAGGCGAAAGCCCCGTTCTTAATAGCAGGACTTGGAAGGAGAACTCTGACTCCAGTCTGCTGCTTCGTTGCCGTTGCCGTATTCTATTGACTTCCAAACTTTTTTGACTCTGACCTGCCATGTGGAATTATATTTACATCACAACCAGCACGTTCGAACCAAAGGAAGCCAGAGTTGAAGCCAGAGTTTCCTGAAATAGTATCGAACCCCCTCTGTACCTTTTTCTTAATGTCCATCGCACATATTGCTTGACTCATAATTAGGACTCCTATACATACATAGTTGGAAAAATACTTTTTTTTTAAAGCAAAACCCTTAATGTTAGACAAAAAAAATTCTTTCTAGCTAACCGTATTTCCTGTGGTGTACCTCTTCCTGCAAAGGTAAATAGAGGCAAGTTTAAAAGTCACTTAAGTGTAAGAATTGGAAAGGAGACATTGGTGGCCTCACTGCATAATGCTAGCTGTCTGGTGATACAGTCTAGGGAAAGGAGGGGAAAAGAAAACCCCACAATAATCACAGGTAGAGCTGAAAATATAGATTGTTGGTCATTCATTGATCAGTTATTGGTATCCATCAGTTGGTCATTAGTATTGATCAATTCATAAAAGCCCCCAAAGACCTTGCATGGGTTTCCATTCACAGCTGGTGTCTGTCTATCTGTCTGTCTGTCTCTCTCTCTCTCTGTGTGACAGAGAGAGAGAGAGAAGATGGTTTTAAGACTAAGGACAGAGCTGTCACTAATACTGTGACATTCGTGCAGGCATTTTACTGTAATCCTGTTTGATTTAATTCTAACTACTCTGTAATTTGCTGATTATTTAACTTTGTTCATGGGGAAAGGCACCAAGGATCCAAGGATGGTTACATTTTTTTTTTAATTAACTGCCAGGATCTACTTGACTCCTAACCAGATATCTTTCTAGCATGCTCTGCTGCCTGAATCTTTGTCCCTCACTTTGCCTCATCACTTCCCTAGGGATCTGGGGAGAGGAAGATGTGTGCACCTGGGTGAGCATTAAGAACTTGGTTTAGTTGTGGCAAGAAATCAACTGTTTCCTGTCCATCTCTTTTCCTTTCATCTAGTCCAGCCCTATAAACGGCTCCTCTCATCCTATGAAATAGGTTGGTAGTTCTTGTGTAAACTAAAGTCATATAGCATATCTCTTAGAAGTAGCAGAGGAGTGAATGAAGGCCGCTGAGATAGGCTGGGTCACAAACCTCAGCACCAGGGCAGAGGAAAGAGCACCATTGTGCCCATGTGTATGGAGGTTGAGGAAGGACAGTTTGGAGAGGTGAGTGAAACCCACTTCGTCCCGCAAGCTGCAGGATTCACGGTGCCTAGAATTGTGTCTCTTTGTTTTAACTAGGATCTTGTCAACTCTCCTGAGTCCCAGCTGCCATATGTTCCTAATTAATATTGGGCCACCCAGGCAAGTTCCTCAGCCTGCATTACCAGAAGTAGTCAAGTAGATACTTCTGCTGTACCCAAATCTCACTCTGGTCCGCAGTCTGATCACTTGTCCATGTCTTTCCTGCCTCTCTCCTCAGTTTGCATTTTTAGGAGCTAATCCACTCCAACCACTGCACAGGCAGTGGACATTTCACGTGTCCTCTCACCCAATATGGGTTACTTATGGCATATGTACAAGTCAGTGTGTAAGAGCATACCTTGTGGATGTATGTGGAGAACAGGATCAGGAGGAGAGAGTCCCTAGCAGTGGTTTGTCTGTCTGGCAGTGGATGGAAGAGGGTAAATTAGTTACTTTCGTAGCTTCTGTGGCAAAATTCCAGACAAGAGCCTCTTAAGGAAGGAGGGGTTTGGCTTGCGCTTTAAGGAGATCCAGTCCATGAGGACAGGAAAGACATGGTTCTGCTAGTGTGAGGTGGTGGATGATATCACATGAACAGGAAGCGAAGGAGGATGAACGCTGGCACCCAGCTTGCTTCCTCATCCTTTTCCTTTTCCTTCAGCCCAGGACTCCTGCTCATGGAATGATGCTGCCCCCATTCAGAGTGGGTCTTCCCTCCTCAGTCAGACCTTCGCAGAAACACCCTGGCAGACGCACCCAGGGGTGTGTTTCTAAGGTGATCGGAAATCCAGGGAAGTGGACAGTTAAGGACTGACCATCACAAGGCAGAAGGCATATGAGGGAGGGGTGGATCCCTGGTAGAACTTGAGTGCTTTATTAGGATGGGGATCAGCCATCCTCTGATGAATGGAATTCGTTCGCACTTTTAAACGTAAGCTTTGGAATGCTTCTTTGGGCCTCTGTCAGAAAAAAAAAAAAATCAGAGGGGAAAGTAGAGACGTGGTTATTTCTTCTGGGTTCCTGGCTCATTGCTTGGAACTTACGGTTGTTTGGCCTACAGAGGACACGGAGAGCAAGGGCTCAGGTTCAAGGTAAGGCTTGCTCATATATACACAGAGTCTTTATCTGGAGCTGAGAACTAGCCGTAGGGTGGTAGTGCTGGCCATCTGGGCTACAAAGCTGCTATTGAAACCAGTCCCAGATAACTTGGCATGCTGGGTAGAAGAGGTTGGCTGCCAGAATATTGCTTTTCTCGTTATGTTCAAGTCTATGATTTAGGGCCTGATTTTAAATTTGTTCTTTGGGTTTCTAGTAACATTTCCTTTTTTTTTTTTTTCTTGGTTAAGGAAAAAGGTAATCTCATACTCAGGATGTCTCTGCTGGTGGCAGGAACCACTGCCCCAGAGTAGTAGAGGCTGATGGAGTCTTAACCCCTCAGTTCCTGGCTGGTATCATGTGAATCTGCCTACTTTAGACCGTTTCTGTCTGAGATTCACTTTCCACTGCTGTTATTTTGGGGGCTTTTCCAGGGCTGTGTGTGTGTTTGCCTTGGGGTGGTTCAGAAGGGAAGAGAGATGGTTGCAGGGCGTATCACCTGGTGAGCTTTTTAAGGTGTTCCTTCCTGATAACACATGAGTCACCTGTTCTCTCTCAGCCTCCAGCTACTGCCCACATTATGCAAACACCTCTTGGTCTGTCTGAATGCCGCCAACTATCTGTCAAATGGGAATATTTGCAATCAGTCACACCTACAGTCAGGTATGGTGTTGCATGACCAAAATTTAGAGTTCAAGGCTACTCTGGGCTATATAACAACCTATTTAAAAAAAAAAATAACCCACGCACTCTAGTTCTCATTTTAAACTGCAGATTCCCTGTCCAGTCATGGAAATACAAGCAGAGCAGGTGGAAAGGTATTGTGAGATTAGGGATAGGTCTGGTGCCCAAGTAAGTCGTAACTTGGAGTGCTGCCCAGCTCATCTGACTCCTTGCAGAAATGGGAGGGGCTTGACAGTGGAAAGCAAGTTCTGGAAATGGACAGTAAGTCCTAAGAATGACCCACTCACGGGGTCGGAAAGGGGAAGTCAATTCTCAGAGTCGATCGGAAAGTCAGAGGAGAGTTAACTCTGCCACTGCCCTTTCTCTGTGTTTTCCATCACCTGTCAGTGGTTGATTAGAATATAGTTGTGGTTATTGATTAATGCCACATTGGCAGACACGTTCCTGAGCTGTTGGTGATTCACCTGCTTTGTGGTTTTCAGGCTGAAAGTTTGTGGCCATCTGTTGTGAATTTAGTTTCTTGTCTTGAAGATCTACAGAGAAAAATGTAAGGGTGGTGGCTACAATGTCTACCACTCACTGTGTGCCTTCTGGGTCTTAGGACCTCTACTGTGGGGTTCCAGGAGCATGCCTCTGATCCTCCCCAACCGTCCACACAAGAGAAAAATAGACATTTAGAGCTGTGACGTACACCAGAGTGAGTGTGAGTGGCCTGTGACTAGAAGGTTTTTTTCTCCTGTGTAAAATTAGTGCATTGGAATTCAGCCGTAGGCTGACATATGGCTGCCTCGAAACTGCCAGGATTATCTTCTCCCCGATTCGGAACTCTCCATTCTGTCACTGGCTCTTGTTTTGGTTGTGTTCTCATCTAGGGCAAT